TGTAAAATGACAGTAAGAGTAGCTGTCTTACCTCTGTAGCTAACTTCAGGTGTTCTAAGTTACTCTGAGTTTTTCTATTTAGTCCAAAGAACAGTTCATTTCTTCATTTTTTTTCGTTTAATTTTTTGAATGACAGACAGAGACTTCTCTTTTTAATAAAGAAAGAAAGCAATCACTTTGAGACAAGTTGATGAAATAGCCCTTGTCCTTATCTTTTTTTTTTTCCTCATCAGATTGACTTTACATTTGAAACAAAAACAAAGGGAAAAGTACAAGCGTTAGCAGTTTCTACTTCAACAAATATGTAGTCTTTCTTCTACATCTACTTATTTATTCAAAGCCTTTCAGTGTCTCATAGATCACAGGACTTAGAGTCTCTAGAGAGAATTAGACTGCTCTTATTCCGCAGAATCCATCATATTTCCAGCTTTGCTCATTTTGTCTCAAGCAGTGCACGCGTGGATGTGTCATTACTCACCAAGGACATGACCAGCCATGGGTATCAGGGGGAATGGCAGAAGCAAGCTCCAAGTGGCTATCTGTGTCTGTGAGTGACTGAAAACACTTCTTTGGGGTTTTTCAAACTCACAAAGCGTGTTAGTTAACTTATAAAACACACCTGAGAACACCTGGAGTCCGACCAAGCCTGTCCTGTTGAATTGTTAACGGTGTCTGCAGCATGTTAGGTTCTGCTTTGGAATAAATACTCAGTGTGTAATTTAATAGAAAGCTTTCAATCAGAAGTGTGTAAGCAGATTGAAGCCTATCCCATCGTACTGGCTTTTAAAGACTCAGAAAGGTACAGGTAAATACACGTGCTGATTCTGCACACGTATTCAGCCCTGGAGATGTCTCAGATAATGCGTGTTTAGCTCTGGTTCCTGTGCTAGTGTTCAGCGCTGATGGGAGAGTGGACAAGCAGCTTTCTCTGTCTGCTATTTTCCAGGTGATTGCTGAATGATTTAACATGTCTGAAGTGTTTTTTACATTTATTTCTAATGATTTTGTCTTAGCGCCTTCTGTTCGGTTTGAAGCAGACTGTGTGTTAATTAGGAAATGCAAATACCTTTACAGAACTGTGCATGGGGATGCATTTGTAATCACAGCCATAGAAAACACCAGCAAGTATTTATGTTGACAGTTACCTTATGGCCTGAAATTTCTATTTCTGCATGCAAGAATAGCTTTCAACAGAGAGCAAACTTTGAGAGATTTATACTATCATTTAGTACAGAGTTAACTGGAGTTCCACATTTCCAGTCTGCAGGCAACAATAGTTAGAGTTTGAAGTAAAGTGTGTTCTAGGTCAGAATTAATACACTTTAAAAAATAAAATCTAAATCAAACAGTGTGCAGTGTACAAATTGTATTTTATGTAAACATAAAATGCAACAGTGTAAATTGGTATTTTGTGCATTTTCTATTATGTTGATTGTATGCACTGTACCTTTTGACTTTTCATACTCAATATGATGATCAGAGTGTTATTTAAGGCTTTCCATGCATTCAAGCCCATTGTTATGACCGAAAGATTTGTCTTGTTTCTTAAGTGACAGGGGAATATCAAACTTTTTACATGTATTTTTGAGTTACTTCTTGGACACTTGTAGGTAAAAAGTTCAAACTGCACAACCTCCCACTGTGCCATGCCCTGCAGTACAGTGCCGTGTCGATCATCACACCAACGCTCTCCTTTTTTCAGCCTTTGGGCAGACTATTTTAAACTCGAAATTCCAGATTTCTGGGAAATGAAAAATTCTGAACCCAAACTCTCACTATTTAGAAATTAATCTTCCCTGCAGGAACTTCTCTTGAAACCAACGTGGTTTATGAATGTTTCTCTTTTAACAAGCTAACAGCTGTTGTTAGAAAGGAAAAGAACAAACCCAGCTTTTAGGAAAATTTTCAGCTCAAGTTTTATTTGAAGTCTGATGCCAGGGACATCTCTTTTCTTAAGATTTCCTCATGGGTGGTGAGTTTAGCAGAGCAATAGCATTTTGCTCCTGGGGACTGTCCTGTCTTTTGCCTTCTGCACACTTCCTAAAACCCTCCCTGCTAAGGAGGGTCACAGAGCAGCAGGCAGGATGCTTCAGCTTGGGAAGGAGAACCTAAATAAACTTACAAACTGATGGAGGGCAGTTATCTCCATTTACCCCCTTTGTTATTAATCCTTCTCTCCCATCCTTGCCAAGATATCTACTTGCCTCTTTGTTACAACCTGCTTGAGGCTCACTCTGCTGATCTGTCCTGTGCAGCAGGCCCTGACGGGCACCACCATCCATGCATGGCTCTGGCCATGCACACACCTCACATTGCCCTCTGCAGAGTGATGGAGCTCTCAGGGCTGTTTTACTGCTTTTCTCTGTGTTTTTTGTTTTGTTTTGTTTTGTTTTGTTTTTATCTGAGCTCTAATTGGGGAATTCTTCTTCCTTGCTTTGTGATTAAGGTTAAGAGCCTGAACTAATTCCCCAGGTGTTCCTCATTCAAAACTTCTCAAAACCAGAAGTAGTTAAGCATTTATATGCCCCTTGTTACCACTGAAAACATGAGGAAAACATACTTCTGCTATGATTCTACCACTGTATGTGCTTGACATTTGCTGTAGAAAAATTTACAGAGGATCTTGGTGCATGGCCCATTTACACACCATATTCTTATTCTGAAAACCACAATAAAACCAAGACCTTACTGCCTTGGAAAAAGTAATGCTCAAATCTAAAACCTTATAAACTATATCTTATAAAGCAAGCTCTGTTTTTGTCTCACAACTCCCACCTCATGTTGCTTTCACTCAGTCCTTAGTAATGACATGGGACCATAAGATTGTTTTATGTCCTGCTCTGTAGTAAAGTGCAGTGTAGCAGGTGGCAGATGCGGGAAATTTATGTCCTCAGTCACTTTGCTGCAGAAAGTATTCATCACAAACAAGAATCGCAGTCTCAACATCTCCAATTTGCAAACAGCGGAGAAAAAGGAGATGGACCAAAGTATGAAGAGTTCAGTCTTTACCAGCTAGTGATGACTGATGGGGCGATTTGCCTGCGAAGGGTGGGATGGAGTCAGAGAGGGTGTTAGACCTCCTCCTGTGCCATCCTCTCGTAAATACAGTTGGACTCAGGGCTTGTCTGTGTACCTGTGCTCTTCCCAGGCATGCTCCGCAAGGCAATGCTGAGACAGTGCTAGAAAACATGAACCACACAGCTTGTGGTGCGTGGCGAATGCTGCATCTGCAGCTCGCTGCTTGCAAGTCCTGACCCAGGCAGATGTGGAAGGGTGATCAAGGCATCAAAGATAAGCCTGATACTGCAATTGTGACCGACTGTGGCTTTACAGGTGGGAGAAAGCTACTCATCCAGCAAGTGTCCCTGAAAGTTATGATCCCCATATAAAATTACCACTTTTCTCCACTATTGAAATAGCCAGAGCACATTTGTATTGATCAAAATGCAAGACACTGTTAGCTTTTGGACTGAGGCTGTCTTTAGGCAGCACAAAGAAAATACATTTTTCTTTTACTGCTTCAGATACTTCAGCTTCTGTGGGTCATTTTCCTACAAGACTTCTGTGAAGGTACTCATGAGAGATGTGAAAGCTAATAAGGCAAACGTTTTCCTTTTTGAAAAAGAAAAAACAAACAAACAAACAAAAAAAACCTCTGCTTTTCCTCTGAATCCAGGGGCTGCCATACAGCACTGCAAACTGTGCAACCCCCAACAAGCACTAACTGTTAAAAAGGAAAGCAAACAGGAAAATACATTAATGTCTCAGGGATTAGCTTCTTCTTCTTGTTCGTTCTTAATTCCTTGGGAGTGTTTTCTGCTTGAAATCCTGTGGCTGTGACAGTCACACCATGGGTAAAACAGCAGGGCAGGGTTTTTGCATTCACACACTCAGCATAGTCCCCACGGCTACTTTTGTGGCAGTTGTGTGGGCAGAAAGGGCAAGTTGAACTTGTGTGGCTGCTCTGACTGCAGAGCTTGAACAACCAACAGACCATCCCGAGCCTGTAACCAAGGAATCTCCCACTGCAAAAGCAAAGGAAAAAGCTAGCACAAAGTTTCTGGAGATCTTAACCCGAGAGAGCCCTGGGGCATCATGTTGTCAGTGGGAAGGATGAGTGGCTGCAGGAGAAAGGAGAAAGGCAGAGGTCAGGAGTAGACTGGAGAGTCACAGAGAGGAGAAGAAGGAGGGCAGGCAGCCTGGCACGTGCCTGGGTCACAGGTGAACACAGACCAGGTGCTGGTTCAGCCTTGTGGACAGCAAGGCAGTCGTGTGGTCCTGTTGTGTCCTGCATTGGCACAGCGTGCTTTAGGTTTGTGCACTGGGTGTGTTGCACCTCTCTGTTCCTCTGCAGACATCGACTCTCCTGCCTGGGGCACTGCATCCAGCAGAGCCCTGACACCTCCTGCCTGCTTCTGGCTCTGCAGGAGCTCATCTCTTGCCTGTAGGAGATCTTCTTGGCAAAGCTAACCACTATGAAAGGCACTTTTTAACTGGGAAGGGTGACCTCTAGGGAAAAAGTGGATAGAGCAGTGCCCTGCAGAAGAGGCAGATAACTGAATTCAGCTCTGCACGGTCCTACTCAGCTTCTCTTTCAGCCCAGAATGGCTGAGGATGCACAGAAGGTTAGAGACAGGACACAGAGCCCAGAACAGCTAGGATGAGCTACCTGTGTAGCTGTTTGTGCCTTAATGGCCACTGTGCAGATGGCCAAAGAACCAAGGTAGCTTGTAAGGCCTTCTTCTGCTCTTCTCCATTGCTATGCATGTCAGCTCAGCCATATGCACACAGTCATGCTTGCAGAAGTGACAAGTTGGCATCCAACACAGGAGTATTGTGTAGCATAATTCTCTCCGTGCAAATGCCAGCGTGTATTTTGGTGAAATATTTGTATTTTGCTATCCTGATATGTATCTTAGTGAAATAGTTCTCTGCAATTACAAATTGAATTATAAAAATGGTTTTCTTTTTACCTTTTTTTTTTTTTTTTTCTGAAAAAGGCGTGAAGAAAGAAGTACAAAAAGATCAGGATGCTAGCAGACCAGCTGTCTCATCCCCTAAGCGATCAGCAGTAACAGCCACCAAGCTCCATTCACCAGGTATTTATGAACCCAAAAGCACTCTTTCAGGGAAGATTTAAAGTTGCCGACTTTGCATCTCTAGTTAATACACTGAAATCTGGGACCTACTATTGTTGAGTGAAGATTGATTATGTCCAAGGTTCATTGAGCTGGCTGTGAGTACAGCAGGCTTTTTCATAGCAATGCATGAGCTGAATAGCTTTATGTTTTCTTTGTTACCACCTTGCAATCATCTCTCTTTCAAAACAAAGAGTTGCTGCTATTACATGTTTAAGGGCATAGGGACATTTCTTGTATCACTATAATTTTCTTATTTAAAAAGAGAACAGATATAGTGAAACAAAAGACACCTCAAACGATTACTTGAAGTGATAGTGTTTTCTTGGAACCTACTGTCACTGTTGTGAAGAAGCAATGTATTTTGTGCATTATTTCCATGCATAATTAGGAAAGAGATCATCTATAGAAATGAGCTCCACACTGCTATTGGGGCATTGTCAATTTACCCCTTAATATTAGATGCAAACACATGGCTATAGTATTTCTAAAGAATGCTGTTGTTTAGGTACTAAAATGAAGAGAACTTATTTCTATTTATGTCTACTTATGCACATTAAGAAATATATAAGGGACCTGAAGACTTTTATAAGGCTGGCCTTTTGACTGATTTTAAATGTTTCTGAAATGAGTATGAATAGTACCAACTATTTTGTTGTGCTTGCTCTCTTCTAATCCATTAAATCATTTTTCCAACTGTACTTAAATAATTTAAATGTCCTATATGTATCAGTGTGATACTTGAATAATAAATATGGGGAGTAGAACTCCATGTTTCTTCATTTGACAGTAAAGAGTAAAACATGTAAAGCAGCTCTTCAGCTCCTGTAACTTGCATCAAGAGTCTCCTCATTTTTACTGAACTCAATGGCTATTCTACTTCCTAACCAACAAAATAAAAAAGGAAACTTAAATTTAACCTTCCTAGACACCAACAAGACTCAAAATTTTCCTTACTCAGGAGGTAGGGAGAAAGGTGAACTTGATGCTGTCCTCTGAACTGTATAATTTTCAGGCTATTTTGGATCTGGTGAGGTCATTAAGAGAGACCCAAAGAAAAAAATCACTGCAGAGAGTGCCAGACTAGCAGCTCACCAATGTTTATAACAGTGGGAGCACTGTTATACAGCACTGACTGTGGCTGTAGAAGCATGCTACAGCAGAGCTGGTTTGCTTCCACTAAAATTAGAAAGCAAAATGGAACACAAGCATATTTGTATGGTGAACTTGCTGGGTTTTAAAGAAGCTGAAATTTCCATTGTTTGGCTGATTTTTAAGGCTTAGGACTTAGCATTTCCAATTCATGATGTTTTTGCATCAAGCCTTCAAATTAAACTTTTATGGGAGTAGGGTACCTGGGAGGTTGAGTACCTGCCCTCTCTCCAGCAGGTTCATTTAGGATTTTGTAAGTTTGATTGTCTGAAATTCTGGCCTAAAATTCTCTAGCACTGTAAGGATCAAATAAGAAAATAAACCTCATGTTCATTTATTTTCTTTAGAGTAGCCTTGAGCATTCTTTGAATAACAGCAATAACAAAGCAATAAAGAAAGAGAATCTTTTCACCTATTCAACAGTTTCACAAAATAATCAAAGAAACCATTAAACAGGACAAAGAGCAAGTGTAGGAAAAGCTAAGGGGCAGTACAGTCTTCCCCCACCAGGGTCACTAATCCATGCAGCATTTATACATTGTGACAGGAATGGCTTCCACAGGCATCTCCAGCACAGCTATAGGTGGCCATGAAATAGGTTCTAATATTTCTCAGTGCCATTTCTAGACTGTTGACCCTGTTATTGGCCTGCTCATATGCAATTCCTGATCATCAGCACTATTTTTTGGCTGACATACTAGCCCTGTTACAGAAGGATTGAATATGATTTATTTTTTTAGCCTTGGATCTGATTTGGATTAGTCCTCCTAGACTAGCAAACAGGTTTTGAAATGCAGTCTTGTAAGGATCCTAAGGTTATCTATTGATACAATACTATTCCTGAGATCTGTGTATGGACACAAGTGTATACAGATGCAGATGTTCTCCCTCCACTTTGTTGCAGGAACATGACATCAAGTCTGATATCTGCATGTCTGATTATGCTGCAGTGACATCAATACTCACCAATACTCTCAAAGTAATGTTCTTTCCTTGCCAAAATGTTGGAAGTTGGACAACTGAGAGGCAAATAAATTGCATGCCCTACATAAGTCCTCATGGACTGAGTTAATTATGACTGTCTACCTGTTATGACACCTTAATTCAAATGCTCAGGTAAATAAAAAAGACCTGGGAGTTTTGAAGCAGATCAAAGGCATGCAGATATTTTAATGAACAGTGGATCCGTTCCCCTGGTCCCACCACCAGCACAAAGGACATTCAGGATCAGGGCCAGCATCATTAACATACACCCTGTTTTGTGCAGAGCAACAGAAGAGAAACATCAGTGGTAGAATAAGCTTAGTAAGCTGCTTTTCAGGCCCAAATGAACTGAGAAATTCAGATTTATCCCTGAGGAGAATATCACAGTTTAATTTAAAAGGACAGCTTATAATACTGACAAGGACAACATGGAGATATGCACTTGAAATCTTCCACTGAACAGGAAAGCTAGAAAGATATAAAATAAAACAATGGGTTTTATCTTATTGTTGTGTTCCTGTTTTAATTAAAATTGGACTGATTTCAAGGGCTTCCTCCTACACTCCTATCTGTGGCTTCTCTTGTAACATCACAATGCTGCCTAAACAAACAGAGATTTTTATACTAAAAAGACAGATATTTATGGCTGTTGTTTTTACAAATGGCTTATTTTGCGCTAATACCTATGGTCAAGTTAAGAGCCCCTTTATGAAATAGACAGCCCCTAATGAAAGCCCAAAATGAAAGAATCTGTAAGAAAATATCATTCTTGGAAAAAGAGAGAGGGAGAGAAAAACAGAGAAAGAGAGAAAAAGAGAAACAGAGATGGAAAGAGAGAAGGAAGGAAAGAAGGGAAGAAAAAGGAAGGAAGGGAGGAAGGGAGGCAGGGAGGAAGGGAGGGAGGGAGGGAGGAGGAAGGAAGGAAGGAAGGAAGGAAGGAAGGAAGGAAGGGAGGAAGGAGGAAGGAGGAAGGAAGGAGAAGGAAGAGAGGAAGGAAGGAAGGAACGGCCTTCTTTTCCTTCCTCCTTCCTTCCTCTGACTCCTCTTCCTTTTTTTAAGGATAGAAAGAGAGAGGAGGGACTTCTTTATCGAGAGAGAAGAGAATAAAGTGAACAGGCTTAAATTGACATGAAAATAGAGAGCAATGACTTTGCTGGTTCTTAATGCCAGGAAGTCCTCTTTGACATCCTCTATTGTGTTATTTGGGTCTTGCAACATCATGAAGTTAATCTTGACATGTTGCAAAACATGGTATTCGTCTGCAAATGTGGGTCATGGGCACAGAGAGTTTTAAAGTCTGTTTTGTAGCTGTGTCTCTTTGCAGCAGCAGCATGAGATACTTGAAGACATGAGGGAGCATCTCTGCTGGGGCTGGCTCCCTGTAAGTTTAGCCTGGAGCAAGAACATAGAGCAGGTTGGAGGATATGCTCCCAGTGGCTCCATGTAAACTGGGAACAGATCAGAAATGGTAGGAATACACTCTTGGGGCATTACTCTGACAAAGCATCTCTAGTAACACCTGAAAACAAGGTGTCTGACTCTATTTTCTCACTTTTTCTTACTGATTCTAGCTCCTGGGTTAAAAGCTTGAGACTAGTGGGAGAAACCAAGGAAGAGAACCATAGATTCCTGAACAGTATTCAGGAAAGAGTTAAAAAGCATCAGCTGATGTGAAACTGAGAGTAGTAAGAAGGCTGAGTAAGCTGTGCAAAGGTGTTGCCCAGCTAACCCTAAATGTTTTCAGGGGAGGCTTCTCAGAAAGCTAAGATAAAGACAAAATACAATGGCCAAGTAATGGCTTGAGCAACCTGATGCCACCAGAGCACTGCCCTTTCTTGCTTCATCCTCATAACCAGGTATTAACCTCCAGAGAAATGGATAGTTATCTCAAGCAGGATATGAATTTAGGATAAAAATCTCACTTCACTATAGCAGTTTATCAAGAGCAAGCACACACAGTGCTGTGATTCCTACCACCACTTGGTGTCTCCATGAAGACAGCTACACTAAGTGAAGGTTTTATGGGGTTTTGTTCAATTAGTCATCTTCCCTAGCAATTCCAACTGTGGTAGCAAAATAAAATGTACTTCTGCTGCATTCTGAGTGTAGACATGTCCAGAAAGAGAAGATGTGGCCATAAAGTTTGAGCTCTACATTTTATTTTCTCTGCCTGTAATCGAACATACCCGTAGCTTGGTACTGAAACAGTGGCCATACACGGAATTTGCTGACAAATATGGATATGCAAAAATATACAAATTCAGTTCATGCAGCCTTGACTGCTCTGATTTTGTTAAAACGAGCATGGCCTTCTGGTATAAGATAGTCAGTGTCCTTACTGAGCTACCAAATGCTGATAAAATTTCACACCATTTCTTTATGGTTCTAGCTTACATGTACACCAGAGACAGAAAATAGAAACAAAGCTTGCTTTAGCATCTTCCTGGGGCACCCTATCCCTATGTGAGGCCAGAACCTATCTTCTTTCTTGCTACCAGACTCACTTTCCCATATACAGACCCTCTCAAGTACTGTTATTTCATGGTCCTCTTTCAGGCACCAAGGGCTTTGGTAAGAATCTGTGGGTTTGGCCCTCATGGATGGTGAGTCAGTGCAGAGCTGATTACTCCACACTTGGAGTTCAAGTGGCCAAAGAAACCATGTGTAGAGTGTAAAGGTCATATGAGTTCTTTCCACATCCACAGTAGGATGAGATGAATCTCTCAACCTGCAGGTGCACTTTTCTGGAATTGACTTTGAGGTGAATCTGGCATCACACATCAAGAGGCAAGCCTCGGTTACTGCAGATGTCTAACATGGGTGAGCTGAACCCTGACTCTAACAACCTCAGTTCTCAGTAAGACACAATGAGGAGAACTCTCCTCAACTCTTAGCAGACCTTCAGGCTCATATCCTGAGGTGAAATGACTTAAAAAGCTTTGAGCTTTAGCCTCTAGGGAAACATATTTCGCTGTGCTCTTGTTTTTTTTTTTTTTTTTTCTTTTTTGGAAGTCATTACCCATCTGCATGAATGCTAAAGATGTTTTTATCTTGCAGGACTGATTCCCACAGGCTTTAGATACACATAAAGATTATGTCCATACACATAAAGTAACTGACCTTGATTATCCTTCCTTCTCTCTTTTGTAGGACATCCCAAACAAAGGTCAACCACCCCAAAGAATGGGTGCTCCCCTAAACCAGGAGAGAGTCGAGATGCAGAAAAGCAGTTCATCCAGAGACTGAAGGAAAAGTGTGATGAGCAGTCCCGGCAATTAAGCAATATTCGAGAAGAGCTTAAAAGGGCCAGCTGTGGGTTTGATGTCTTCGCGATAACAACACAGCACTTTTTCAGGCAGGTAGGTGCAACGGGTACTTTTTAACATTGTAAAGATACTTTGCCTTTACATCAGTCACTTGCCTGAATGTATTTCATAAGCATTGAAATCCTGTTCTTGGAAGCAAAGCCTGTTAATTTCTTTGCAATTGTTACTATGAGGAGGGAAATACATTTGATACCATGTATTTAAGAATAAAAGTTCAGGAACCTGGAAGAGAAAGAATTGCAACTGAATCCTTTGTTACAAGCAGGAAGGACTTTCAGAAAGTTTTTATGGATGCAGCAGACATAGCAATTTAAAATTCCCAGTCCCTGATTCATAGGAGGAATAGGGGATGTAACTGAGATATTGACACTTGCAAACAAATGCAAAAATAATCCATGCATTTAGTCAATAAAAAGTGATGGATGAAGGAAAAGATCTGCTTTCTCACAGTACTTATCTACTGTTCCTGCTCACCACAGATCAGGCAGAACGGTCACTGTTACAAAGGTGCAGTTTCCAAAGTAGGAGTAGCATTACTTCAGTATTTAGGACACTACATTTCACAGGTATAGAGAACATAAAGACAGCATTGTCAATAAGTAGAGAAGCTTATTTGTTCACTAAATCCAAGAAAGAATGAGTGAAGTTTGAAAGATGGCCACAATAACCATGAAGGAATCGCAGGTATTATTTGTTTTGGTCTGGACCTGGTTCACCTGATGCCCATCTATTCAGTACCACCTCAGGTTAAGCAGTTGTCCCAACTGGCAGATAACCACCAGCAGTAGGACCCAAGGTTTTGATAATGTCCTTGATTGACTCTTTGCCCACTTTTGGAAGAAACAAGTAAACTTACAATATTATGTAAGGAGAGAAGAAAAAAAAAAAAACTGAGCTTCAGTCTTCATAAATTCTGAACCACTTTATTCAGTTTTGTTTCTGTTTTGTATTGTATTATATTAGTGGGAAATATTACCTTTGAACAAATAACCATAGTTCACACTTTTCCCTAAGTAGGAGCTGATCTTGCTGGGGGGAGCTTGACTGAACTGAAAAAAACAAACAAACAAACAAACAAAACAAAAAACAGGATTTTTTAAAAGTTCTAAATATTTTACATACCTTCTCAAGGGATTTTTTTTCCCTCTATTTTTCTTTAGTCTTGACATTTCTGGGCCCGATGGGCATTTGTAGAGCCTTTTTTTTTTTTTTTTTCCAGCTGTCTGTGGAGTGTCCTTGATTAAAGCAGAGGAAAATAAAATAATAAATAATAAAAATAAATAAATAAATGAATGAAAGGACACAGCAGTATCTGCATGGCTTTGTCTGTGCATTGTCCACTGGGGAGAGATTTTTCATCTCATGCATCATTCACACTTTGCTGAAGGAATTCTGAAAGTTTGGGCATATCTCTTTCGTCTCCTCTGGATGTGTTTTAAATGAGAACAGCTGCTGCAGCTGAATTTTCAGACTCATCCTATTGGAGTGTGTTAGATCTGTCCTGAGAATGCCTCCTCAAGTGAATGTGTCAGAGGACTTTATTTAATAGAGTCCTCTCCAAGTCCTGGCCAGACAGAGCTGTGCCTCGTCTCCCCAGCTCCTCTGCACTAGAAGACCAAGGCCAGCTGGGGCTTCACAGTAATACTGCTCTGAGTGCAGCATTACTGTGAAGAGCAGTACATTGGGGGTCTTGGAGGTTTAAAAAAATAATAATAGTAAATTTATTTAAAAAAAAAAAAAAAGATACCTATGAAAAATAAGCACCTTCAAGCTTGGGAAGAATGAGATGTAGATTTTTTCCTAACCTACTATTGGACTTGCTTACTTGTTCAGCCCGCACATCAGTCTTTTTTGGGCTTGCCTGGCCATCCTGGAGTATATATATGGGGTATATATATGGTTTATATATACATCTGCACATCACTGTCCGGTGCAGTGCAGGGCACTTAACCAAGCCCCAGAGGAGGTGCCCTGGCTGTTGGGAGCTGTGTAACATGGACCTCTTCCAGTCAAAGACACTCCAGCTTTCATGGGTGATGAGCACACACAAGTCCAACGGTTATTATCCTTTAGGCACTCAGGTCTGGTACCCACATTAGAAGGACAGGTGCCTTAGGCTTCATTTTTAGGCAAAGGAGGCAAGTGGGCACTTCCAGAAGGCTATTTGCAGCACCAAAGATCTGAATTCATAATTGAGGTACTTGCCCATCTCAGTTGAGAGCTCCAGGGAAGCCTAAAGGCTGCTCTGTTTTTATTTCAGTGCTTGAGAGCCTGCTTGTGTTGGGATGATCTGGGACTACTCAAGTAATTGCATAACTGCACAGGCCATTGCCTTGCAACATAGACACAGGCTTCCAAGTCTGTGAGTGGCATTCGAAAATATGATCTGTAGACATTTTCTGAGATGGCATTATTGTCTGAAAACTTGAACAAAATATCTTTGGCTGGCTTTGAGTTAGGGCAGCATGGAAAAATAAACTTTTTTTTTTTTTCCATTATGAAAATAATAAAAATTGTGTGTGTTTGTTTCTGAGACGCCTACAGGCAGAATGATTGAGGTCTGAGTGGGACTGCAGTTTGGCAAGGGGATAACATGCATTCAGGAATGAGGTGGGGCCTTACTCCAGAGAAGTTTGGGGTTGGTTTGTCCAAGTGACAGCTCTGTACTGCTAAGTAAACAGAGGGCCTGATCCTGCTTCAGTGCTAGGAAAGCTCCTTGGGCTGAAAGTCACCTATAGCCTGATCTTGGTGTGTCTCTGTCTCCTTGCACTACACAAAAATCTCTAAAACAGAGGTTCTTCTCTGTATTGGAGATTAATTTCTGTTGGGAAGTGCTCTCCCAGGCCATGAGGACTGGACTAAGTCTTAAAAGCCCACCCGAGGACTGATGTTTTGAACACGGGTAGGGATGTCCCCATGCCCGTGATAATCTTGTCTTGCTTAGACTGTTTCTGTTCTCTCTCCGAAGCTGGGGGAAACACCAATGCTCTTTAAAAGATTTCTCAGTGTCAGCTCACCAGTGCAGTCAGAGGGACTGAGCTGTACCCACGCACAGAGGTGGCCCTTGCAAAGTCTTCCAGATGCGAGCAAAGAGCCTTGCACAGACTTTTTATGCAGGATTTGGTCTGCTCTTACTGATGCCACCACAGTTTGCCCCCAAATGGGTGCCTGCAAAGTCCACTAAACATCTTTAGCCATGGGAGACAGAGTGTCAAGATGTAGTAAAGAGTGTTGGGCCACACTGGCAGCTTCTTTGAGCACTTCCCAATTTTCAGCACTTGCTGTAGCAGCCTCAAGGTTGCCTGACCATTTTGCCTTGATTTTGTTGGATTTGTTTTCCGGCTCTTCCAGACCAAGCTGAATTGTATCCTGTAACCATCTCTCCTTCTCAGTTGAAAATTTAACAGGCGAGATTAATTTAATGGGCATCGAGGAGTGCACAGCGTGTAGCAGAACTTCATACAGATCCATTAAATGTCAGCGAGACCAATTTGCTATTCTGGGGAAAAGCCTGGGCAATCAAAGCAGATGGTGACTCAGGCAGTGGACAAAAAAATGAAAGCAGTGGTTCTGACACAGGCATTCAGCTATCTATGAAAAGTAATGATTGCAGTGCCTGCGGACAGCTGTTTTTAACTATTACTTAATTAGAAGAATAATTAGTTCAGGCCCTCAGATATGCACACAGAACTCCTTGTTGACTTTGAGAACCGCTCCAAACTTACTCTGAAGAGGCGTACGCTGAGTTTATGCTGTGAGAGATACTCCAAAGTGAAAACTGGCTGGTGGGAGCTGAAGTGATACCATGAAGACTCTTCAGAGCAAGTATCAGGAGCAGCCCTGCTGTCTTGGGTCCCTCCTGACCTGCTCTGGCTCATTATTAGCCCAGGGATAATGAAGGTCCTGGCCCAGCTTCAGCCCTGTTCAGCAGCACGCCCAGCAGCTGTCCTTCTTGGAAGTGGTAACAGTGCCACCTAAAGGAGAGTAGCCCAAAGTGACAGATCCTGGAGGGTAAATCCTTCTGGACATAAACAGGTGGGGAAAAATAAAAAATAAAATAAAATAAAATAAAATAAAATAAAATAAAATAAAATAAAATAAAATAAAATAAAATAAAATAAAATAAAATAAAATAAAATAAAATAAAATAAAATAAAATAAAATAATAAAAATAAAAAAACACGATTTCATATCTCTGGTACGCTAGGACACTGGTCCTAGGAAGGACAAGGAAAACTTTTTTGCCCATTCAAATATTTGTGTTTTTAAGAGTGTTGTTTCTGTCCTGTGAATAGACAACACACCAACCAGTGTCATGTAACTACGCCATCACTTCCCAAGGAAATACATTCTTCTACCCCCCCCAAAATAAAAAATAAAATAAAATCTGCACTAGTTGTCATAGCAGTGACTGTGAAAAAGCCACTGAGGGCAGAGGGAGAAGCCAAGAGCTTCCCTGCACTTTTTTCCTTCTGTTTTACAGGGGACAAGCTGAGCAGGCCATGCTGTCCGGCAGCAGTGTAGGATATCCACAGTAGTCTGAGGCTTGCTGCTGGCTTGGCTAGGAAGTTGGCAAGCAATAATTCTGGTCTGTCCCCAGCTCCACCTGCCCCAAGACACCTGCGTCCACTAATGAAAAGCTCTATGCAGTGATAGGATAGCAGCATTTCATGTCTTATCTAATGAACCCTTTGAGACCGCAGTGTCTGAGGATGGTGCCTGTGCATGGGGTGGTACGAGCATCCAGCTGGGCTTGCTTGAGCATCAGCTTTTAGCATTTTAAAACTCATCTGCAGAGTTTGTACCTGCTCTGTTGAGGCAGGGGGATGAGCTTGCTGCGCTCCCTTCCTGTCCCTCCAAATGCTGTTGCTCTTGCAGCCCATTGCTGCTTCTCTGGGGGTGAGTTACTCACTCCTGCTCCTTGCCCCACAAGACTGGATCTTAGACAACCATGGTATTAGGGCATGGTTGGAACAGCAGGTTTCTGCCTCTTCTTTTATCAGTTGCCCAGTTCTCTGTTCCTCAGCCATCTA